TACTTCTAATTCGTGACCGGCATTTTGTTTTGTTCTCTCTCTGCATTCGTCACTAATCACGCAACGCCAACGTTCTACGTCATCCATCGGAATGCCTTCCACGTATGAGAGATGGCTGAAGTGAGAATAAAGTGTTTATTACGTTTGTAATATGGATATTTTTCTTACGAAAACGTATGGATTCGCTACAGGAGGCCTTTATTCATTCCCCGGAGCCGTGCGAGGCACGTTTTATTACGGAGGCGCACACTTTATTTCACGTCTTCTGAACTGTTGAGAGCAAAAACCCGCTTACTCCCATTGAAAGGCTTGGAGGGGCCAGGACAATTTTTAATATAACTCCGATTGGATTCGTCTGAAAGAAGAAAGTCACATACACCTAGGATGCTTTGAGGGTGAGTAAAACAGGATAATTTTTATTTTTGGGTGAACTAACCCTTTAAGTGTATAGGTGAGAAAATTTACTTAAAGTATCGATCTTATCAGGCTAGTATCGATCTGATACCAATGTCGGTATCGATACTATCGATATTAGGATCGATCCGCCCACCCCTACATAGCACAAACCCTGATGTGCAGGATTGTTTTTATTTTGTATTACTGTTTATTTTTTGGCCTTGCCATGTGAGGTTTAATGCATTTGTAATTGATGCAGTTAAATTAGAAGATATTGCTCAGATTAGACAATCAGCTCATTTGGGTTTTAATGTTAAAGCTCATAAAAAAGATAAATGAAATTGAGTAATCTGTTTGATTTGGGTAATCATACCTTATGTGTATCAAATTAACATATAAAAACATCTGATTCTCAAACCTCAGTTTGTTCAGCTGACAGTTTGGGCTCTTCATTCCGTCACAGAGCAGCTTCACTCCTGAATCCCACAGGTCATTGTTACTCATGTCCAGCTCTATCAGACAGGCGTTTGATGATTGTAGAGCTGATGCCACAAACTCACAGCACTCACCAGTCAGATTACAGCATGCCACTCTGAATAACATAAAAATAAGTTTACACATACGTTTATAGTTTAAATGATCTCACAGCTTCATCTGAGTTTGAGAACAATAACATGATAGACCTTAAAGATTGTATTATTTTAACTGTATACTAACCAGTCACAATATAAATTTTTATAACTGTTGACAGATTAAATAAAATCAGGATGTCATGATCTCATTTCTCATGCTATTTAGCATATTCTGTAGCTTATGTAGCTTTTACCTGACAAGCATCTAATAACTCTCCATCATATCCTCTTAGGCTCTTGTTTTCACTTGGTCATGAATAAATCATATGTTGCATTGTGATATAACCACAGGTTCTGCACTCTAATGGGGTATATGACAAACGTCACATGACCAAACCAGAATCCTGGTGTCATCACATCCGCTTGCCAGAATGTAACAGTTGTCCGCTAAAGCCGGGCTCACACTACAGGAGTTTTAAAATCCTAACCGATTATGAAATCTGGTTGCAGCACACACATAAGGAGAATCTTTGCAGATTATCTTCCCTCAAATCTTAAACATGCACACACTACAAGATTTGAACATCGTGGCGCATCACACACTACAAGATATTATTAAGATTATCATGCCAGAGGGAGCGCCTCAAGTGATCTCACGCTGCAGATGTCATTGATATTTCAGTGATGTTTACAAATGTTAGCTAGTGTGCTAGCTGCTTTCTACACTCACCCGGTACATTCAAAACTGAGGCGATTTCACTCCAGCGCTTCTCTTTCTCCTTACGGTTGTGATACGTTTTCGACACATTATACAGACAGTCACACTGAGCAGCGGTGGAGCTGAAGGAGTCTGGACACTGAGCAGCGGTGGAGCCTGGGAGCTTCCTCTCCAAAGAAATCAATGAAACCCTCATCCTTTTCCACTTGCTCCTCCACATCTATCTCCTCCAGCAACTGAGAGGTCCTATCAGAGGTAGGGCACATGTCCTCCAGGGGCTGACTATTCTGCCTCAACAAGTACTGCACTCTATCATTCAATCGGTGAATGCCTCACATTACCAGAAAATCCGCGCCGAACATCGGGAGCGATCGAGGGGCTTGACAAGATTTTTGCTCCGATTCTCGGGAGGGGGAAATCGGGGCTAAATCGGGTTAAAAATCCTGTAGTGTGAGCCAGGCTTTACCTAGCAAGTTTTTATACTATTGTGATTGTTATCCATATTATTATTTGCATTTTGTTTTGATACGGTTAGCCACCAGATTCTCCTGTCAACCCTATTGGCAAAGGGCATCTCAGGAACCGCACGCCAGTGGTTTGAATCTTACCATTCAGATAGATCCTTCAAGGTATCTTAGAGAGGTGAGATGTCCAATTCGCAAAATCTAGCTACTGGGGTGCCTCAGGGCTCAGTACTTGGACCACTTCTCTTCTCTGTCTACATGGCATCACTAGGTTCTTTCATTCAGACACATGGCTTTTCATATCACTGCTATGCTGATGACACTCAACTCTACCTCTCATTCCATCCTGATGATCCGACGATAGCTGCTCGCATCTCAGCATGTCTAACAGACATTTCTTGTTAGATGACGGACCATCACCTTCAACTCAACCTAGCTAAGACCCATCCCACCTAAACCCATCACTTTATCAAAATTTCACCATCCAGTTAGGCTCATCAACCATAACTCCTTCAAAAACAGATAGAAACCTTGGAGTTGTGATTGATGATCCGATTCTCGGGAGGGGGAAATCGGGGCTAAATCGGGTTAAAAATCCTGTAGTGTGAGCCAGGCTTTACCTAGCAAGTTTTTATACTATTGTGATTGTTATCCATATTATTATTTGCATTTTGTTTTGATACGGTTAGCCACCAGATTCTCCTGTCAACCCTATTGGCAAATGGCATCTCAGGAACCGCACAGTTCTATCAAACCTTTACAATTAATCCAGAACGCTGTAGACCTTAATGCGCAATGCCAAGGAGTCTCAATTCCAGCATAAGTTTCCTCCGCTTCTCAAATGATGAAATGACATCTATCTACCGGCAACCAGACCAACCATCTGGGAGAGAACACAACAGCCAGAGGAGGAAGTAACTGAAGAGGAAAAGATGGATGTTAAAGTTCTGCTTCAGTTCCAAACCAGAACCATAACTTTCGATTTAGCATGTGAGAAAATAGAGGCAGGTGATGGAAGAACTACAAAAGAGGCTGTAAGAGCTTACATTGAAGCAATAATTTGACTTGGTTTGGCTGCTGGTAGAGAGCAGTCTTTCCAGGCAAACAGGCACAGCTCCCTCTTTTAAGTGTTGTCACCCAATTTGAGTGACATCTGTGGAAATGAAATGTCTACTGCAGACTGCCATGTTTCTCTTAATTACCAAATTCTCATGTCTCGCATTACGAATCCACATTTTTCTTAACATTTCACCTTTTGGGAAGCGGTGGAAACTTATGCTGGAATTGAACTTCCTTGGTATTACGCAATGAGATACACAACATAGATCACTGTTAGGATTTTCCCACTTCTGGTACTTTATAGCTCACAAAGACAATTTTTAATACAAATCAAGATATTAAAATAAAAAAGTAAACAAAATACAAATTATAATGCAAATAACAATAACAACTAGCTAGGTTAAGTGGATAACTGTTACATTTCTGCAAGCAGATGCAATGACACCAGGGCTCCAGTTTGGTCATGTGATGTTCAACATATACCCCATTAAAATAATGTTACCACTACACTAATAATTCGGTTCCATTTATAGATATATAATATGTTTATTTACATTTTAATCAGAACATACGGAGAAATATACTAATGTTTAACCTCTCTCTGTAGCACCAACCCTGATGTGAGGGACTTTTTTTATGAAAAAAAAAAATCCTATTCCTATTTATTTTTGGTCTTGCCATGTGAGGTTTAATACATTTGTAATTGATGCAGTAATATTAGGAGATGTTGCTCATATTAAACAATTAGCTCATTTTGGCTTTAATTTCAAAGCTCATAAAAAAGATCAATTACACTCAGTAATCTGTTTGATTTAGTATCAAATTAACATAAAATCACATCTGATTCTCAAACCTCAGTATCTGCAGCTGACAGTTTGGGCTCTTCAGTCCATCAGAGAGCAGCTTCAATCCTGAATCGCACAGGTCATTGTTACTCATGTCCAGCTCTATCAGACGGGAGTTTGATGATTGTAGAGCTGATGCCACAAACTCACAGCACTGACCAGTGAGTTTACAGCCTGCCAATCTGAATTAGATAAAACAAGTTAACACCGCCATTTATTGTTTAAATGATCTCACAGCTTCATCTGAGGTTGAGAACTATATAGACCTTACAGATTGTCTTATTTTAACTGTATACTAACAAGTCACATTTTTACTATTATATATGATTTCCCATTTAATGCAGTATTCCAGTTAAAAATGGAGTGCACTAAGGCGGGGGACAATAAATCGATGCATTGTGTTTCGTGGATCGATTCTGAGATTTTCGGAATGCATCTCGATTCTCTATGGAATCGATTCTGAACTTAGTTTTTAACAGCAGATGGTGCTCTAGGCTAGTTTTTAACTGCACACTCAAATGCTCACAAAGAAGAGTGCTTGTGCGTTCGGCTGAGTAATGTAAGTGTTTAAATGTACTTGCACATCAGCTTTTATACTTTTATGATGCGAGATTAATGTAAACACAGCCCACTGTGAACATCCTTGTAATTCACTCCAACTTTTTTGAACTTTATGAATGATTATTTTAGATTATTTAAGTGGTGCGTGTGTAAGGAACTGGAAGCAAGCAGAATACGGCTGTTTCTAAAGCATGCAGTGCCATCTGCTGTTAAAAACTAAGCTCAGAATCGATTCAAAAGAGAATCGCGATGCCTTCGGAAAATCTCAGAATCGATGCAGAATCATTTCACGAATTTGCGATGCATCAATTTATTGTCCCAGCCTAGAGTGCACTATAAAAAAAATTATAGTGTAGTAACTACATTCCTGTATAGCTCTATATATAAATGTATAGAGGGCCGTGTATTCCATAGTTATTGAGAACATTTAGTTTTTTTTTTGTTTTTTTTGAAGTGAAGCTGAAGTGTTTTTGCGTTATGATTACAGTCAAACCTGTTTAAGACCTAGCTCTGTAATATTTGCTATTTCTGGTAACCCAGTTATTACTTCAGAATCGATGCAGAATCATTTCACGAATTTGCGATGCATCAATTTATTGTCCCAGCCCTAGAGTGCACTATAAAAAAAATTATAGTGTAGTAACTACATTCCTGTATAGCTCTATATATAAATGTATAGAGGGCCGTGTATTCCATAGTTATTGAGAACATTTAGTTTTTTTTTTGTTTTTTTTGAAGTGAAGCTGAAGTGTTTTTGCGTTATGATTACAGTCAAACCTGTTTAAGACCTAGCTCTGTAATATTTGCTATTTCTGGTAACCCAGTTATTACTGTGAACAAAGCAGTTGGAATGCAGGGAAGACTGGGTGGTGGTGGGAAAGACCGCACCGGCGATGAGGGGATGGTGACCCAACCCACTAGTCTCCGTGAGAGACACCCGAAACTCACCACAAAGACAAGTAGAAGTCAACCCGTAGGCCCTCCGAGAGGTGGGGTGAATAATTGGCCTGACCGATCACACGGCAGTGTTAATTTTGACAGGCATTTTTTATTTAGTCTTAGTCTTTATCTTGAGATGAAAATGCTTAATAGTCTTAGTCACATTTTAGTCATTTGAGTCTTTCATGGTTTTAGTTTAGTTTAAACTAAAGACGAGAGGAAATAGAGCGTTTGAAGTGGCTGGTCCTACTCTCTGGAACAACTTACCATCTCATATCAGAATGGCCTCCACTCTACCTGTTTAAATCTTGTCTAAAAACTAATCTTTTTACTTTGGCGTTTATTAATTGATTTCGTTATAGTCATGTTATGTGTATTTGACATTATGCTATTAATATTTTACTTATTGTATTTGTACAGAGTGTACAGCACTTTGGTCGGCTTTTAGCTGTTTTTAAATGTGCTTTAGAAATAAACTTGAACTTGAACTTTAAGTCGACGAACAGTCATTGCATTTTTTTTTTTACACTTTTAGTCATTACTTTTAGTCAAACTGCAGTTACTAACATTTATTTTGGTAGCTATTTTATATGTAGTCTTCAAACAAAAATAGTAATTAATTCTTCTCTCTTTAGACCAAATCAATTATGCTTATGAGAAATTTGAATCAAGGATATAATTCGGAAAAAAATTGAATAAATGACAATTTTCATTTTTGGGTGAAATATCCCTTTAACAGTAGTAAAAAAAGGAGCAAGGCGAGAAGCAGACTACAGCCAAAAGAGATCACCGGCAGAGTCCAAGCAGTTAGGGCAGGTTTTGGGCATGGAGAAATCCCAAAGTTCTGGTCCGAGGCCAGCAGGAAAGAGAGGAAGGAGCTGGTTGTTGCCGAGGTGACGAACATGGAGAAAGAGCGTCAAAAGGTCAAGGCTGTATCGCAGGGATGCCAGGGGAACTGGATGGCGTGGGAGAGCATAGTTGCTAGAAACATCAGCTTGGCAGACCTATGGAAGATCCTGCAGGCAAGGCTCAGTTTTTTGATTAAGGCGACGTATGACACTCTCCCCTGTCCGCGGAACCTGCGCCTGTGGCTTAGCCAGGAGAAATGCTGCTCTTTGCAACACCCCGAGTGCAAGCCTCCATCACATCCTGGCTGGCTGCAAGACAGTACTCTCGCTACAGGTGGCAGCATGGCCAGGTCCTTAGAAGGCTGGCAGAGATCCTGGAGAGACAGAGGCAGGAAGCGAGCAGAGGGCATTCCACACTAGTGGACCGTCACATCCAGTTTGTTCAAGAAGGGGTAGGTGGCAAAACCACCACTCCGAGAGTACCACGGAGACCAACCATCTTGACCGAGGACTGCAGCATGATAGATGACCTGGGCAGGAAGCTCCAGTTCCCCACTGAGATCACCAGCACAAGCCTGCATCCAGACATAGTGATGTGGTCCAGCAGCTCCAAAACTGTACGCCTTGTTGAGTTAACCATTCCATGGGTTGCAGGGAGGTGGGATGGAGAACCACCATTTACCCGGTTGATGTGGAATGCCGCGGCTTCATGGGGACATCAGCTGTCCACCTCATGAGAGATCTGAGAGTGTCAGGAGCAAGCCTTTGAAGAAGAAGCCTGAGAAGAGTAGCTTTTGGCTCCGTATAAGGAGAAAGGACGTGTTGGGGCACCACCTAGCATGTAGTCATGCTGCAAGGGGTGACAGGGAGACATCCCTGTCACTAGCCCACCACAAGGAGGCATTCTGGGTTTAAAGGGGCGAAATGTAGATGAGTGGTGATACCCGGCTGATGACCTTGCAGCTTCGTAGGCACCGGAGGAGGTGCATCAGGCAGCAATGCCTTAGCAGTTTAAGACCTACCGGTTTAATATGATGGAGAAAGCATATTGCGACCCATAATCGAATTCAAATATCAAAATTCAATAAAAATTAAAAACAAAAATCAACAGGAATACTTGATTAGAACTAATTTCAACCTCTTATTTGAACCCCCCCCCCCCCATGGCGATAAGATCTTCAATATGTGTTTAATCATACCATATTAAATCAACAAACATAAACGCATCTGATTCTCAAACCTCAGTTTCTCCAGTTGACAGTTTGGGCTCTTTAGTCCACCATAGAGCCGCGTCACTCCTGAATCCCACAGGTCATTGCTATTCATGTCCAGCTCTATCAGATGGGAGTTTGATAATTGTAGAGCTGATGCCACAAATTCACAGCACTCACCAGTGAGTTTACAGCCTGCTAATCTGAACAGAATAATACAAAATAGAACAATTACACATACATATTTTCATTTATTGACAAAAGTTGGAATATTGCAGCAAGTTAGCTCAAAGATAATTACATAAATAAAAAAATACATTGTATAAAAACTAGTTATAATTAATTATAAATATTTAGTTCAGCTGTAAGTATTCACGCAATGTCTCAGTGTTAATCATCTATCAGTTCTAAGAAATGTTAATGGGCTACCATACTTGGCAGTCACTTCACTATTCACTACATTTGGCATAGGAAATGTGTTAAAGTTTACAGAGTAAAGAATTAAAGCATGAAGTCATAGCAAAATTTAATATTTAGCAGATCTACAGCCTGAAGGAAACATCAGTTTCTTAGTTCAAGCACACCTTTGTGAAAAGGCGTAAATGGTACTTAATGTAGCAATTAATAAGTTTTTTTGCATCTCGCATCTCGCATCAAATTGTGCATCTCGCCTTTTTGAAAGAGAGTCCTACTGCAATTTAAGGCTCTAGTTGATCTTAATCAAGATTTTGATAAGAAAGAACCAGTTTGAGGGAGAGGATCTTTGATGAATGTAAAGACTGGGCCACAGCCTGGCACAAGCTTAGGGTATGACAAAGACCTTCTCCTGGAATTCCTGAATCCTAGAACTGCCAAATCCCCTTGATCTTGTGGTCAGTGATCAATGTGTAAGAAAATGTACTTTTAGAGAGAAGTTTATGATCCTTTGACTTCAAGCATGGTGTTTTGCATTTGTAGTTTGCTTGGATGTTGATGAAGAAATTACTAAAATTATTATGTTGATAGGTATCAATACATAATGTAAAATATCATTAATGCACTGAAAAAAAAGAAACTGATAGATACCAAAAATGGTATAACTGTGACCTTGATTATGTAAGTAACATTAAAATATTAATTCAAAGAATTTTGATTAATACATGGGCAAAACACTATGAAAAAACATATGATTACAGAGGGAAATTGAATACATGATTGCAGATAAGTGGTTATATTGAGCGTATAGAATTAGAATGGACTGTATAGAAAAAGGGTGCATTTGTCTGTTTCAATTTAGAGTGAAACTCTACATTCCTTTAAGTCAGGGGTTCCCAAACTTTTCAGTCCACGACCCCCAAAATAACAGTGCCAGTACCTCAGGACCCCCACTTTCCTCTGAGGTGGTTAAAGTATACAAACGTTTTGCACTACGGCACACATGCACTTATAGCATAATGACAACGCAAAGGAACACAACAGTCTAACAACAATAATATTATTTTACAGTTATTTACTCATTACTTTCATTTCAACATTAATCTTACCTAATTAGTTGGGTGGGCAACATGCTGGAGTACAAAACTATAACTATTAACTTATATTTTTTTATTTATGGTTAAAATATGCTATTTCTAATCCTTTAAA